GGCGGTGCCCTGGCGTGGTGTCAGTCAGTCAGTCAGCGGACGGTCCGTTTGCCCCGGCTGCGCCCCGGGGGCGGGGAGGGAGAGCGCCGGGGGCGGCGGCACGCGTGGGCTTGCCCGAGGCTGCCCCGGCTCGGCGCTGGCCGGCGTTAAGATGTCCTGGCTGACGAGGGGCGGGAAGTCAAAGGAGAAAGAGGAGCCGGAAAGCTCCCCGGGCCGGGAGGAGAGGGGTCTGCTGGTACAGGCCATGCTGGAGCACGGGGCAGACCCGTGGGACCGCAAGGTCGCGGGGCAGGAGCCCTCCCTGAAAGCCGCGGAGAGGCGCTGGCAGAACTACGTGTCCGCCTTCCACCCCAAGGGGGAGAAGAAGTGCTCGGCCCTGCAGTGGCTGTTGTTCGACCTGGCCCGGGCCTTGCAGGCGGCGGTGGAGGAGAAGGAGCGGCGCATCGGGGACCTGCAAAACGATCTGCAGGTGGCTCGCAAGGAGATCCTGGCCCTGCGGTGCGACAGCTCGCGGCTGAGCGCGCAGGCCGAGCAGCTGCCCGAGCTGAGGGAAGAGCTGAGGGCCGAGGCGGCCGAGAACGCCCGGCTGAGAAGGAAGGTGCAGTGCCTGGCTACCCTGCTGTCGCTGGGGAAGGGCTTGGATGGGAGGAAGGTGGCGGCTCTCAGTAAGGCAGACTGGGACCCAGAGGTGCGGGACGGGGACGGCTGGGGTTTGGAGGCGCGGGAAGAGTCGCCGGCGCAAGGAGCGGATGCGGCGGGTGGGGGGAAGGCAAAGCCGGTGGAGGGAGATGGGGGCCAGGAAGCGGGGGATACGTCCAGGAAAGAGAAGGTGTGGAGGAAGCGAAGGGAAGGATGGCCCGTGTGGGTAAACCGAATGTGGAGCTTGGAGCAGCGCACTCCCTTCTCGCACGAGGAGGCGAAGCGGGTGGTGACCGCCATCGGGCTGCCGTGGCCCAAAGTAGGGGCGATTATCAGAGCCCTGCCTGCCGATGAGATGTCGGGGGGGGAGATCTTGCGGCTGGTGATCAGAAATTTGGGAGAGTACGAGCCTCTCAAAGATAACACGGAGGGGGCGCCCTGGAGAGACGTCCAGGAGGCGTCAGCCTACGTGTGCGGGAATGTCTTACTCCGGGCGTTAAAGCGAAGGGAGGAACCGGTGACCCCCGACTTTGACATCTTTGGGGTGAACGTGGAGCAGGGGGACGTGGGGGTGCTGGCCTGCCGTGCTCCCAAGCTGCACAAGGGGTTTTTCATCAGCCTGGGGTCTACTTTAATTGGCCGCCCCCTCAGTGAGTGCATGGCTACCTTGGAGAACATGGGGACCCTGATGGGAGCTGAGGGGAAAGGGATGGCGAAGAAGGACAGGGTGGGGGCAGAGGGGAGGAAATACATTCCTAGAGGGACAATTTGGAAATATTTAATAAGCCAGGGGGTGAATGAAGGAGAGCTAGATAGTCAGCCCACAGGAGTTTTACTTGCCAAAATGAAGGAAATCCTTCAGGAAAAGGGGATTAAGCAAGAGGAGATTTGGGAAAAACTGAAGCAGATGAATCCACCAGCTCCTCCCCCTATCCCAAAGAGAAAGCTAGACCCACCCTTAGGGGACCCTAAAGATTAGGAGTCCCAACCCCTGGTGTCAGTGGGATTAACCTCCACCACGCTGACCTGGTGTGCAGGGAAAAGGGGCTGCGTGGAGGTACAACATCTGTTGAAGGGGGGAGTGAGAAGTTACTTTCTTAATTGCTATGGGATCGGAGATGTTATTAGATTATCAGGGTCCTCCACTCCTTGCTGAATCTGTCTGGATATTGGGAGTGGGAAGGGGGGAAAAAGGAGGGGAAAAAGAGTAGAAGCCCAGTTGTGGGTAAGGGAGGATAAACTGGATGGGTGGATAATTCTGGTAAAAGGGGGGGGCAAACATTTTAGGAATGACTTTCCTGTCTCAGTTCAAGGTAGATCTGTCCAAGGGAAAACAGTATTGTGCTGCTGGCTCAAAGTGAAGCAATTGCAGGAGTCCCCACGTTGGTGAAGTGCCAGTCTAAAAGTAAAACAGAAACAAGGGTAGTAAATGAAGAGTATAAGGTGGTTCTAGCCGGAGACCCCCTCTTCCTGTCCCAGTACCCGTACAGTACTGAAGCACAGAAGGGTCATGAGGAGGCTCAGGGGGTGCAACGAAGGCTGAATAGATTGGGATTTAAAAATCCCTATTTTCACAATTTCTGTGGAAGCCCAGCAGTATGGAGCATGTGGATGGTGGAAACCCCTTGCAACCTTAGGGGCTGGACTAGATGATCTTTAAGGTCCCTTCCAACCCAAACCATTCTGTGAACTGGAAATCCATGTTGAGTTACACCTTTGACCCCTGGGAGTGGGTGCCACTTGAACAGCGGCAAATTGATTCCGTGGGCCCCTTGAAGAGGTTGAAGGAGGGTTTGTATCGGTTTGTGTTTGTTGCCATTGGTAGAACAGCAAAATGGACAGAGGCAGCGGCAGTGTGTGAGGGTACTGCTAACGCTGAGGTTTGGTCGTTATGTGAAGCATTGAAGGGATGTAGTCCTCCAATCTTAACGGATTCAGATAAAGGAAGCCACTTGACAGATGCACCAGTCCAGAAGTTCCTGGAAGGGGTAGGGGTGCATCAGTTTACTCGCATTTCCTACCATCTGCAGTCCGCCAGGGTAGTGGAGAGAGCTAACAGGTCCATCAGGGTGAGACAGAAGGTAATTGCTGAAGAAAGAGGACTAAGCTGGAGTACTTCTGTTTGTGTGCTGGGCCTTGGGAACAAAGAGCATGCCAGGTGCCTTGCTGCAGCCCTTACGAGCTGGTCTGTGGCCCTGCCCCACAGAGGGATGTCCTCTGTGGCAATGTCAGTAAACAGCCGTGCGCCTCTGATACCGATTCAATCCTGGAGCAGGGTTCAGTCAGCAGAAGGCATGGGCCCATGCTGCTCTCTGGCGTCGCACAGCTGAGGAGCAGCATGCCACTATAAAGCAATGTGAAAATCAACCCCCACTGGGAAGCGTGGTCCCATCCACAACCCAGGTACAAAGGGGAAGGCCCAGAGAAAATGTAGGGGTGATTGTGGCTCATGGGTTGGGAAACACAGAACTAACTGGAAACAAAGAAGGGGCGGTTTCATGGGTAGATGGGGCCCACTGCCAGGAAATCAAAAAGAATGTTTCTGTCTAATATGGAAGTAAGATTGGTCTTCAGGATCAAATGTGGCTGTGGGATGGATCGCAGGTGTGGACCACAGAGAGCCTCACCAAGACCCATCTTTGAGGTGCTCATCATTGTGTTAAGACAGCATCAGGAATATTGTTAAAGCATTGCAGGTCCTGTTCAGTGTGTTCTGCTGGCTTCTAGGTGTAAGAGTGATAGTTTGGATGTGGAACATCACCACTGCTGTTAATATTTTTATTTACTTCAAGAAAGATGTCAAAGGAGTTTTAATACGAGGCCTGGCAATGATGAGGATGACCTCAGATGTTTGGTTTCCCAGTAATAAGCATTTGTTAATAGTCCTTCCAGAATTAACTTGACTTCACCTGTAAGAGAGCATGGACTGGACAAAAAGATGGAACTAATAAATTAGATACTCAGCTTAGATCCCAGTATGGGTCAGCCACAGAAAAGTTGCATGGGATACAAATGGTACCTTTGCAACCAGTGTAATAATAGGGGGATGCAGTTGTATCGCCTGACAGTGCTCTTAGTTGTTCAGATGGTGCGAATTTAGTTTTGGCTGCTGAGCATGTCCAAAACTAAAATCACACTATCCATATTAATCCTGTAAGATGGGGAAAGAGATGGGGAATTGATGTGTGAGGCATGAACTAGTCTAGAATACATCTGGTGTGACCTGTGTGTACGTGGGTTGTGCCTCTCTTATGATTGCAAAATCTCCATCCTTGGAGATAATCAAAAGCTATCCGGAGGCAGTCCTGGGCAACTGGCTCTAGGTGACCCTGCTTGAGCAGGGGGTTGGACCAGATGCTCTCAAGAGGTCCCTTCCAACCTCAACCATTCTGTGATTCATTCTATGAAAATGGCAGC